CTATGTTTCACAATTTTTCAGTTTGTCAGTTTGTTTTCAGTAAAAACCAAAACACGCAAAGCGTCTGCCTAAAAATTAGTTTCTGAAAAAAGTTTTAAGTATCAAAATGACTTAGTCAGGTTATAAATTGTTATCACAAACTTGTCAGATAGCTAATGCGTAGCTTCGAGCACGTGGTTGTATTCGAACAATATTCGTCGTCAAAACTTTATAAGAGGTTCTCTCTGTTAAATAGGTTGGCCGCGGTGCATAAATTCCTGTGTTAAGACCGTTTTATTGCCAGTTTATCGTACAATAAGTTCGAAAAATGTCTTATCCTAAAGAAGGTAACAGATATAATTATTTCTTTTAAATCTTATATCATTCGAATAAGTTATATGTTTCGTATTTCTTTCCGGTATTTTTAATTGAACAAAATTTCGATTTGTTTGTTTGGCCTTGAACAAAACTTTTAGTTTTGCTAGTGGTACGGATGGGTATTTGACTAAAGAATAACTTTTCATTAATCCTGGACGTGATAACTTGTTGACCTTGACCTTGAAAGTTGAATTAATAATGTTTAATTTTTCCGACTTATAATATTTTAATAAAATTGAATGATATCAATTTTTCTGATTACTTCCGTGGTTATTAAGAAATTTATTTGATTTCCTCCGATTCAAATTTCGCATATATTGACATGTGAAACTTTAACTTTTAACTTTATAAGCAAAATGTAAGTAAAATTACTTTTAGACAAACTATTTATTGATGTTCTTTTTCTTTTAAATATATACCAAGGTCCCATAAGGTGTTTAATATTTGTTACTTTTTATTTTTTTTTGTCAAAATTTTTGAGTTCAGTTTAGGGAACATACCCATACTACGTGACCTATTTTTTTAGTTTCCTCCACTAATCCCTTCCCTCGGTGACTACTCGTCGTCGTAGTACATGCCAAGACACCCCGCCTTTAGTTTTTACGTAGTATTTCATAATTATGTTTTTTAATCATTTCACAGACAAAAATTGGAAAAAAAATTGGCTCATACTCTTCTTTATACCATAAACTGCATGTCATTAAATTACTAGTGAATTATGTATTATGAAAAAAAAAACAACTAACGACTACGTGACTAAAATCTGAGCCGCCCCGCTCCTGTGACTGACCGTAGTATTTTAAGGACCCCCCCCCCCCTAAACGGGTCACGTAGTATGGGTACGTTCCCTTAGTGCAGTGCAGTACCTTACACTATCCTTCTTCTTACTTATACTATCTACCGTATGACTTGCTTATTTCTATAATGTTTTACAGTTGGTGGTTTGAAGCTGGGCACTTTGCTTATAGAAGGCAAGACTAAGCAAGTGTTCGATTTACCTGAGCAGCCTGGCCATTGTCTACTGTTAAATAAGGACAGGATCACCGCGGGAGATGGCGTCAAAGCTCATGATCTGGAGGGGAAAGCGGCGATATCTAATCAGACCAATGCCAAAGTTTTTGAAATACTCAAAGCTGCCAGTAAGAACATTAATTTCTTTCAACTTAAAACATTTATTTGAACCGCAAAACGTGAACCCAGGTTCGAATTTTGGTTTTCGAGTTTTATAAACGAAGTCCTAGATATATTAGATAAGCTTAATACATTTTAGTAAAATTATTTAAAAGAAAAAAATCGTTAGACCATAACTATTTTGTCGAAAGTCAGGTAAAAACCTTTTTGCTTCATTGTCTATACCCCGACCATAAGCCGTACTTGCCAGTTCAAATAAGGAACGTTAAATTAAAAAAATAAGTACATAAATAATTTGTATTTGTTCTATTGTTCTAGGTGCTAAATATTAGCAATATTCTGTTTGTATTACATAATGCAATATCATTTCTCCTGACCTCATATAACACCGGAGTATTATCTCACTTGTTTGTAATTACGAAACTTAAACTATATATAAGTTAAAGTTATTTCGCATAGATAATATTTAATAAACAAGCCGCTTAAATACTGTAAACATAATTATAAACCTAACTTCAATTACGACAGTTAAAATTATCAAGTTTGGATGGCTCGGAAACTTTTTGTAAACCAAGAAAAAAAGATTGCTTTTTAAGACGTTATTGCTTTCGTTTATCATAAACAAAAATTCAAGCATCCCTGGTCACAAAGATAAGGATAAGGAGATTATGATTCTTATTTAATCTGTATATACAACAAATAAAATCTCTTTTTATTAAAAACAATACTGACTGGGAACAATTTTATTTCAGATATAAAAACAGCATTCGTCAAAATAGCATCACCAACCGCCTTTATATCGAAGAAATGCGACATGGTGCCGATAGAGTGGGTGACAAGGAGGCTGGCGACAGGATCCTTCCTCAAGAGGAATCCCGGCGTGCCCGAGGGCTATAGGTTCACTCCTGTCAAACTGGAGACGTTCTTCAAGGACGACGCTAACCACGACCCCCAGTGGTCTGAGGAACAACTACTGTCGGCTAAGTTGAAAGTCAATGATGTTGTTATTGGTAATTTTATGTTTTATTGCACTTTACTCATTACTCTAGAGTTGAACTATAACCCAGAATAATACCACATACTAAAAAGAAGAAAAAACCCAGTCCACAGATTATATTTCTTTATGGTAACTGGCACTGTCACATAAATGTTATTAAACCACCTTTATTTTATGATGTGTTTTGTAGGAACAGACATTCTCAATGTTTCCCGACGAACACGGTAAACTGTTCCAAAGGGAAACGCCCAACATTTTTCGATTTCTAGCATTTCATCTTAGGTTCATGCAATTATTGAGTTCATCATTTTCTATAATTCTAGAATTACTGGTTGATTATAAAACTATCCTTGTTTCGCAGGTCAAGATGAAGTTGACTACATGAAGAAAGTCACAGTATTGGTGTTCGAAATACTAGAGAAGGCGTGGGCATTGAGAGATTGCGCTCTTATTGATATGAAGATCGAGTTTGGTGTTGACACTGAAGGTAAAAAAAAAGTGTTTTTTGTTTTTTTTTATACAAAAAATAATATCACATTTTACAAAATATACCAGCCATGTATGTTTATTTTACGTATACAAAATTTAAATTTAGAATATGTTAATACTTTTTGCTTGTTAATGATTTTTGTACGGTTTTTTTTATTATATTTAATATGCAATAACGTTCCAGGCAACATTCTGGTGGCGGACGTCATCGACTCTGACTCCTGGAGGTTGTGGCCTTCGGGAGATAAGCGTCTAATGGTCGATAAACAAGTAAGATTTGTTTATCTCATTCTGGCAGCTATTATTATTTACAACTATGTTATTTTGTGGTTAATTATGATTGCATCATGTGTACTTGTTTTTTTAGAAGACATATTTTTGGTTAGATTTCGTCATCATTTTTAAATTTAAAAACATAAATTGAATTTCAAACTAATATTTGCAATTACTAACTGCTATAGTTACAGACTATAATTACTAAGTTAAATTAATAATAATAATGACCGTTTAGTAAAACTTTCACATAAAAAGGTAACACTAGGAGAATCTCTTGTTGCCAACTTAACAAAACTTTAAGTTTTAAAACTTTTTTATTGACAGGTATACAGAGACTTAAAGAACGTAACCGCCGCTGACCTGGACACAGTGAAGCGTAACTTTGCTTGGGTCAAAGATCAGCTCGACCACCTCAAGCCGACAATACACCACAAGGTCGTCGTGTTCATGGGCTCCCCGCAGGACAGGGAACATTGCAACAAAATTGCTAATGGTAACTTTCTAAAACAAGTTCTTTAGGGTGAATAAAAGATTTTTGGGAAGCCTTTAGCCATAGACAAACGTTGCCTCGATCGGCTGATACTGGACAGACAGGAAAAGTAAACGAATTAAATTAAACTCATTATTTTTTTATAATCCCGGTAACAGCGGCCAAAGACCTCGGTCTGGAAGTAGACTTGCGCATCACGTCAGCTCACAAGGCGACGGAGGAGACGCTGCGCATCATGCAGCAATACGAGGACACGCACGGCGCGCTCGTCTTCATCGCGGTGGCCGGCCGCTCCAACGGCCTCGGCCCCGTGCTCTCTGGCAACACCAGCTATCCTGTCATCAACTGCCCGCCGCCATCTGACAAACTTGTACAGGTTAGATTTTTTTTAGAATTGTGCAAACAATAAATTACCAAAGAAATAGAAAACGTTATGTGATATTTAAGAATTTTTCTAATAATGTTACCAGTATGAAGCCTTCATGAGTTGCCAGTAAACAGCTTATTTTTATGCTCATTTATGTTTAACTTTTAGGACATCTGGTCGTCTCTGTCCGTGCCATCGGGTCTCGGGTGTGCCACAGTGATATACCCCGACAGCGCTGCTATCATGGCTGCTCAGATCATCGGTCTGCAAGATTACCTCGTCTGGGGCAGACTCCGAGCTAAACAACTTGAAATGAGCGCATCTCTTAGAAAAGCTGACAAACAAATCAGAAATATGTGATTTATGAAATATTCTAGTTACTGAAATTATAAATTCAGTTTTATACAATTCTCGAATATTTAATCTGTCAACTATATATGCATAAAGCAAAAAATCACAAAATTAAGTTAACGCATTAAAACCTAAATTTGATTACAATGAATATCAAATAAAATTTCTATTTTGATAGCTTTTTGTGATATTTTGTAATCATTCCAATAAATTTATTTTAAATATGGTGTGTTTCAATGTAATCCTTAATTATTAAGTTTCTGAAGTAAAGTTAAATTTAGTTAAGGATCTAAATAAACGAGTGGGCGGGCCGTGATTGCCGATCTATGTACGAATAACAGGGTAATTTGAAACTTCGGCTTTCTGATTCTTACAACAGAAATTAATCTCTCAAAATAATCACTGGTTAAGATTATTTTTTTGTTTGCTTCTCCTACCAAAGTTGAAGCTTGGTTGAAACAACAAAAATTCATAACTTTATTTTTTTTTATTGCAACAGTGAGACGGACGTATGCCATAAATTCACATGTGGCAACATTAATTCTTGAGATGTCAATTTATGCGAATTTTTTGCGAAGTCGTGTTTGGAGTTTTGGTGCATTGGTGAAAAAAGTTCCTTCCAGATATATTTTTACTATTAAAATGTCTGAAAAGCCAGCAGATTACCTTGCTACCAATGGTTTTGAAAGCAAAACTCCATTCTTAATCGGTGTAGCGGGCGGGACGGCCAGTGGGAAGGTTAGTCTATAACACTTCAATATTTTATTGATTTTTCCTGATTCTAAGATCTGCTTACGTAAGTGAATGAAAATACAGAAAAGTAAAATATTGTTACTACACTTTGGAGTAATTATAAAGTAACATTAGTAGAAACGTGCCATAACCTCAAGGTTTGTTTGGTTCATTGTTCAATTAACAGTTTATAAATATTCGCAGTAGAACGGATATTATTGTTACTTAAGGCAATGAATTGTCTGTTTAACTGAAAACTATGTCAAAATCCGTAAATAAAAAGCTATAATTAAAACAGATCTGATCAATTTAATAAATTTATTATATTATTGTATTTATACATTTGTTAATGCAACTCTTCTATCTAAGAGGATAAGTTCAAATGAGGTAGCACATGTATATTTCAGTCAACAGTATGCCAACGCATAATGGAAAAGTTGGGACAACAGCACAAAGAACAAACAGAGAGACGAGTTGTCTGTATCAGTCAAGATTCCTTCTACCGAACCCTCTCACCATCAGAACGGCTCCGAGCTGAACGTGGACAGTTTAACTTTGATCATCCAGATGCTTTTGATGACAAGAAACTCCTTGCCATCCTGAAAGATATTCTGGCCGGAAAGAAAGTTGAAGTCCCTGAGTATGATTATATCACAAATTCTATTAGGTAAGTCTAACTTGAATTATGTCAAAATATGAAATGGAATTTTTCTATTAGGTTAGCCATCAAGTAGCAAGTCCTTTAAATGTGATGTTATGTGACTTTTTATTAACTAAATAGTTAAATACCTAAACCATTCTTCCGTTGTTTAATATTCATAGAAGAAACATACTTTTAGTAGTAATTTAATTCAAAGAATAATATAATTAAAGCTCATTTTTGAAAAACTCTAGTATGTATTTTGTGACAATATAAAAAATTCTCTCCAAAGCCCACATCGCTCACACACAATCTACCCAGCTGATGTTGTGCTGATCGAAGGCATCCTGGTATTCTATTTCCCGGAAGTGCGGGAACTCTTCCACATGAAGCTGTTTGTAGACACTGATTCTGACACACGACTTGCAAGACGAGGTGAGAAAATTCATTTTAAATACTAAAGTATTTTTAAACAAGTAACAAGTTATTTTTATAGCATATCAAGTTACAGATAGACCACAAACTCAACTTGTGTTCTGTTCATAACTTATTCAAACAATATGTAACTATTTTATTTAAATTATAGAACATACATATTGAAGATGGTACATCATAGGTGATAGACAAAGTTGTGGACAACTGCTAGTAGTTCTTTCATCATTAGGGAACTGAGATTTATTTTGCAATCCGTTTAAAAATGCTCTAACCGAATGTATCTTTCGATTTCCTTTTATTTTGATAAAAAAAGAAAACATAATTAGTAACCTATGCATTATTTCAGATTATGTTGTACATCTATGCCAAATTTAAGCCAGATCTATGCAGCAATTCTGGAAATACCTTCTAACAAACATTCATCCATCCAAGAAATATTATAATGTCTATGATTTACAAATGTAAATAAAATCTTGCAGTACCTCGTGACATAATGGAGCGCGGCCGTGACTTGGAGCAAGTTCTAAATCAATACATGAACTTTGTGAAGCCTGCATTCGAGGAGTTCTGCTTGCCGGTAATATTATTTATTTTAGTTTTTATGTATAAACTAGATTTTTTAATCACTTATGTACTTTGCATCTAATAACTACACAGAACTTGTAAACGAACGACTAGGAGAAAAAAAAAGAACTTGCCGATGGCCATTGTAATATTGATTCAAATGGATTTAATGCAATATTTTTTGTTGTGAAGTTAAACCTTCATTTATTTTTTTCTTTACAGACTAAGAAGTTTGCTGATGTCATCATACCGAGGGGAGCTGATAATTTAGGTAAGATTTTTCTTCAGTTTTTAATATTAGCATGTAAACTTTTACATAGTACTTTTCAAATATCTTGGCGGCTCAAGGTCATTGGTGGCCTCACCCCGCATTGCCCTAACACATCTTTCTTTTTTGTATCATGGGAAATTTTAACATAACCTTGTTCTTAGGAGAACCGGGTTATGTAGGTTTTTTTCAATAAAAAGCCTCGGTGGCCATCCCCTAGTTTCACTGGCACCCCAAGGCACCTAACATTGTGTTCTGTGCAGCGACTCGTAAGAAGTTAAGAGTCGCCACGATATCTGAAAATTACTATACCTTTTTAGTAAGCACAAGTCTTCTCTTGATTATTGTCAATATGGCTTACAATATTTCAAGACAATTTTTTTTTTTTACCCTGTATTTTATATGCGTATTTACTTATTTTGCCTAATTCTGATACAATTATTCGAAGTGTGTTTAAAAATTGTAAAAAGTACGGCACCGTCTTCACAAAGAATCATAAAAAGCACTAAAGGTCATAGCCACTGCAAGTAACGTTAAAAAATCTTAACTTCAAATCTACCTCTTCTAAAACTTGTTGCAGCGGCTATGTTCTTATGTAGCTGCTAATTCGAATTTTACGGCAAACGCGTTAAAGTCCAGTTTCTCGTTGTTGCAGTGGCTATTGATTTAATCGTGCACCATATATGGGACATTATGTATAAGAAGAGACCGGCACCGAAGGTTGCAAATGGAACATGCAATGGAACACATCTGGAAGTTGATGAGGGGAACGGAAGAAGGATGTCAGGAAGTTCTGAGGATACTCTCAGTCGATAGCCAATGGGGATATGCACAAAGTTCCATACTGGATCTGTGACTGAAGCCGTTCGGGATATGTTATTTTTTTTATATACTATTTTATTGCAGTGTTTTCTAATAAATCCTACTCCGGCTTAGTTAATCTTAACAATATAGATCTTACTATTTTGAAAAAAATTGTTTCGGGATTTTTTTTTTCATTTCTAAAATTAGAAAAAATTCCAAAAAATATAGAAAATTCTTTATGTACCTTACACATATTGTAAAATAACGTCAAATCTTGCAACTTCTGTATGACGTAGGAAGATTTTTTTAAAAAATGTTTTTTTATTCTGTCATATAACGTAAGTGGGATAAAAAAATATTAGAAAACACTGTTCTAAAATATAGGTGTGGTTTGCAATCGAATATTTTATTATTTTAATTGACATACAATCAGTATTATTTATAATTCCTTTTGAATCGAAACTAATAAATCTGTGTATTATTGAAGTATATGCATATAGAAATCTCTCCCCCCCCCCTCCCCCCAATTTTATTCCTCTATCAAGATTTCTAGATTTTAACTCTTAATTCGATGGTGTCCAGTGTGACGAACAACTTATTTAAAAAAAAATGTACTGAACTAGTTTAGAGAAAATTACGTAAGAAAAACTTTGCTAAAAAAATAGTTTTTTTGCTACAAAAAATTTCGTCGAATTAAGGGTTAAGGATGTGATAAAATTATCGTATTTGTCCCAATTCCTTATATGATTGTACGCACATATATATCGCTTTTATATATATGTATTTGTATATTTTAACAAAATAATTTTTATGCATTTTTAATTACTTATAAGGCTACGATGTCGTAAATTTTTTAATGAGAGAGATTTAATTGACAGTGTTTTGTCAAATTTCAAAATGTTAGCATTTTTTTCAGCAATGCCTATGATACTGTATTTTTTTAAATCGTAACTTTTATCTTTAAAGGCGCTTATATAAATGTTAAAAATAATAATTATAATACGGGGTTTTTTGTATATTTAACTACAAAATTATGAAAATTTCAAATATGCGTGCTTAAAAGTATTTTTATGTCTTGAATCTACAGATTATTTATGATTATTTATTATGAAAAAAATGTTTTTTTTTTACTTTTTACGCAGTCGTGGGCCACTGGTCACTAGCTGGTCCAATTATTTAAAAATGTAAATCTGGCAACACACGAAATGTAATCTTTCTCATTAAGGAAAATCTTATAATACAGGTGAAATCAACTAAATAGTTGTTATATAGGACCAAAAAAATTGTAAAAATTTGTAAAAAATTATAAAAATAGTTGTAAATGTATAAAGAAATTGTTAAGTAGATTTGCCAATGAGCTGCTGAAAAAGGAACACACCGAAATGTTTAGCTATTGTTTTTTTTTTTAATTTTCCGTATTGTTTCCGTACATTTTTTTTTACAATGAAAACAGTCCAACTTTTTACCATCTATATCTTCGTATTATTTAGTATTAGAATAAATATTATTTGAATTAGTTATAAGTGTCGCTATTTTAAGTTTAATTAAAACGTACGTCACAGATCCAATAATAAAATGTATAACGCGACGTCATTTTGTAATATAAAAATTTATTCTTTATTCGAATTATTACGTATTTTTTGTTTTTTAAGTTGGCAATACTGAGAGGCGTTTGGCTTGTAAAAATGCTATCTCTGTCGCACCTCCAAATACGTGTACGATTGTCTCGCTCGCTCCTGTATGATATTTTTTTTATCCCAGTTGCAATGGTCATGCGTTATGAAAACACGCACACAAAAAGAAAATAAAAAGATTTTGATAACCTATAAAAATACGATTAGACATTCTTAGAAGTCATGTCACATAAATTCTTTTTAAATCGCACATTGGTGGTAAAAAAAATCTTCCTTACAAAGATCAAATAAGGTTATATATCTTAACAGGTCTGTCATAGACAATATTAATTTGTTTTTAAAATGTATTTTTATAATTCCTTGCGTGTGCACAGCAATCGTTCCAATACATTTATGTACTGCTTTTACGTATTATTTAGGTTAAGATATAAACTGTATACATTATGTATAAGGCTGACGTTTTTAAAGTACATAGAGTAAGGAAAAAAAGTCACCGTGAAAAATAGCAAAATGTCAAAAAAATGTGTTTATCCTATAATTTAGCGAGACTAGTTAAACATGAGAAATCCATTTTTTTTAATTTTAAACTTTCACACTGGGGTAATTGTGTGCAATTTCTTTATACTAAAATTGTTATTTGTATATTTTTGAAAAAGTTTTCTTTTTGTTTTGGAAACTGATATGAAACAAATTAATGCATTTATAAGTTTTATTTTGTTTTTAATATAATTTGAATGCACAATTTTGTGTTAGCATTTTATAAAATTATTTTAAATTCCAGTGAAATAATTTACTGTTTGTTCTTACAAATATAAATTGTGTTCAGGCAAAAGCCATGCCAAATAACTGTAATATGAATATAAAAAAAATGTTTGTTTTTTTTTTGTTTTTAATTTAATTTTCTACTCGGGTTATTTTGACAAAAATGATCGATATGTAAAGTTACCTAAGAAATAACTTCTTATTGCCTAAATGTTTAATGTATAAATAAAATATAGTATGGAAAGAAACAAACTGACTTTAATTTGCTACAATGAGCCTTACTGCAATTTAAAAGAAAGAAATATATTTTTTTTAAATTCTACACATAAATAAAATATGTATTTTCATATCAGAGAATTTATTTCTTTGTCGTAATATCATATGTATCCATTTTCTAGTAGTTCTTTTAATCGACTTCAAAATCAAAGGGTATCGATTCGTCTGTATTTTTTTCCTTTTGAAGTTGACATAGCCTTTATTCAGATCACACAATTCCATAGACTAATGTATTGTTTAAAATATGTTTGTCTGTATTTTTCAGTGGCCATAGACTTAATCGTGCAACACATATCAGACTACCTGCGACGTAGCCCGGTGGAGAAGTTGCCACCTCTGGGCATATCGACGTCAGTGCCCGGCAGCCCGCAGCGCAGCGGACAGAGCGGCCGGCCGCATTGAAGCGTCCCCTCTATTTAGTATTATAAGGTCTGTAGTTGTTATGGCTAGTGAGATACACCGCACACGTTTAGATTTACATTTTTAATTTAACTTAAGATGACCGTCATAAATTTTTGATCATGAACAATACGTGTTAATGTAAAATGTTGATTTTTATAACATTCACCTATTTATAAAACTTATTTTTTTTTAACTTTTCGTTAGTCTGGGCATTTTCGTATTACGTTAAGTTGTGAAGTAAAATAAAAATCGGCGCCATTTTTTTGTTATTTTATGACCTGGTAACATAGACCTTAAAATGTTCGTTACTTTGGAAAATTGGCGCCATAATTGAATTTACCACAGATTAGAGTAGCGTGTTGCGTTCAGAATTCTCTCACCAAAGAGCAGATAGTGTGTTAATAAGAAATGTCACTAAATAATTCTAATATTTATTTTTTTATTGTATCCTTTAAAATGAACAAAATTATATTCATTATAATTATATTAAATTGATAGTTTTAATATTTAAATTAAATTTTCATAGCTGTAAACTAAATAATAATAATTATATACCCCAAAATAATTTGTATACTTCATAAACATACAATTTAAAAGTTTATTATTCTGCACATTTTAATAATCAAATTAAAAATTACATTTATTGTAGCTATATGTAGTAAATAGACAAGATTTTCGTAAAAAAATCACGTAATAAATGAACCTTTGTGAATCTTTATTAAGAATTGGTTGTAATAATTGTTAATTGCTTTTGTCTTGTTCAAGAGGTTAACTTTTTTTATAGATTATAGAGTAAAGGCTTTCATTTAACATAGATACTGTCGAGGACTTTCATGTCCTATTACTTTCTATCACTGAATATCATTTGACACAATGTTATTCGTTTAAAAATTCATCATAGTAATGTACAGCTCTTAGTCACAGTTCATCATCATCATCATCAGCTCATACGTCCCCACCGAGGGGCCTACCCTAATTTAAGAATGATTAGGCCATAGTCAACCACGCTGGTCAAGTGCGGGTTGGTTGACTTCACACATATCTTTGAATTTCTTCTCAGATATGTGCAGGTTGCATCACGATGTTTTCCTTCACACACACACACAGTTAACTGCACTATATTTGATCGTAAAGGGAAGTATATTAAATTCTTTGACTACTGTTTGAATTTTTTTTTCAATATGTCGATTACTATACTATTTTAATATTCACAAATCTCAACTTAACATATCTTGCACCTAGTAACTAGTCATTCGGTATAGCTATAGAATAATTGCAAGGAACGTAGTTTGTAAAAATTTAACGCTCAAATTATTCATTATCGGTACAAAATAATGTTATTTCATTTCTGTTTATTATTAAAATATGTTGAAAAGAAATACAACAAAAAAATTCTCTTATAAAAGTACTTATAAGTTCGCAAAGATTTTAGACAAATTAATCTGAACTAGTCAATTGTATTTAAAAAATTTAATTTATTTTTGAATATTATTGAAGTAAAATTATGAATTGAATAGAAATTTCAGATTTAAGAATATTCTTTTTAAACCTCTACATTGCATATTTTCATTCGTTATGTTAATTACTAAAAAATATGACAATGCAGATTCGCGCAAATTACTTGTTTATTTTTAATACTTTACTGTATCGTGGGCAATTTAACATGCACAGTTGTTAAATATAATTTAAAGGAAACATATAAACTAATAGATGTCCTGAACTAATTATCTGCTAAAGTTGTGAGCACGGTGAAGCTTATTCAAGCCTAAAGTTTGTAAAAATATAAACATTCAGGTTCAAATACAATGTCGCATGTTTAAAATGTTTAGGTGTTATGTTTAAATATAGTTTTGATGCTACCGAAGCCACTTTGTACAAAAGGCAATGTAAATCTTCGAAACTAATATTGTATCCTTGCGTTGAATCGTCGATTTGATTCGTCTATTCGGTCAATACAGGCAAACATGTCAACTGTATAGCTTTGCATGGCCATCTTGAAAATCTCAGCGACTTATCAGGCGACCATTTTAACAAACAGAATGCGAGCGACTAAAGAAAATGTCATTGTATAGCGTGGATAGCTTAGTTACTAAAATTGCTGGGTTTCGATGATTTACGTCGTGTACGAAGGGGCTAAAACTTAACATTTTTTAGCGTTATTATACATTTATGACACGATTGTTTTGTTAAGAATAAAATACTTTTACCCGATTCTTAAGTGATTATTATGTAATTAGTGGTAATTATTTAATTAAATTAATAATATTACTTGAATGTTACTTAAAATATTGGATTTTCATATAAACTTATTGCCTACAAACCAAAGATAATATTTATTGAGTACTTATTAAATAAGCAACGTCAATTTTAGTTAATAATTATTAATAAAATGTGAGTTATTTATTTTAAAGTTAAATTAAAATATTCTAATATGAACATCAAAATGACGTTGAAATGAGGCTGTATATTAAATACGATTTTTATTAATTTTCATAACACTTAACATTTTATGATGTAGCTTAAGCAAAGCAAGTTAATTTATTCCTTCAGAATTTAAACACTTATAAACTTCTCAAATAATCTTTTAAAAAAAATGTTTTAAGAAACTTGTTCTGGTTGTAAAGGTAAATTATTTTAACATTTTTAGTTACATAAAATATTAAGCCTTTTGATTTATTTTTGTAATTTAGTATTTTTTGGTATAATTGTGTCGGTTGCATAGTTCGTTGTTCCTTGATTTGTTCGTGCTGATTATTGTACAAATATTATGAACACAATAAAGCTATTTTATTTTTATAGTGTTGTTATTTTAATTCCTTCGTCCATTGTAACCTATTTAGTTTAGAATATTGGAGTAAGTCTGCCAAGAAAAACTCTAACGTTTGGGTAAAAAAAAAACAATATTAAAATTTGATCCGCCTTTATTACATGACACAATAAAATAATTATCGCAATAATTACATATGAAAACAATGTCTTAAATAATTTCATTTTAAATATAATCACGACTTTGATAGCGTTTGCACGTGTCGCGGCGTGCGGACTAGAGGGCGCTGCGGGCGGCGGCCGGCGCACGCGCACACTGTTGTACAAACTAAAACCTCATTGTTCAACCTCACAAACTTGTATTAAAAGAAAATTATTTTCCTCATACCTGATATTCTAAATATATGGAGAGAAAGTATGATATTTCAAAATTTGTGCAACAATAATCACTAAATATATTTAATTTTCAACAATTTACATACAAAACTGGACGATTTAATTATTTATTTTGTTATTGTATAAAACAGGAACAACACTTAAGGCAGAATCTACTTTTGCTCTGTTTATAAAATATTTTCTCTCCATTTATTATTACAATGCGGGTAGATTCTAACAATTTTATACGAAACGAATGCGAAAAAAACATGTCATCTCTTTTTTTCCAAAGAGAATTTGAGAGAGAACTAATTTAGTACATGTGTTTCGCTTATGAAAACTGACTTTAAAACAAAAAAAAATATACTACAGTCAAAGATATCTGGCCTGATGAGAGGCGCTAGTATCGCGGTTGGTCCTGGCAGAAAGTATATAAAAACTACATGGACATAGAGAATGGCATAAAAGAAAAAAACATGACAGTTACAGTAAGAAAAATAATTAATTTAGTTTGACTTATTATCACCGGGTCAGATAACTTTAACGAACGTTTAGTGCAGTCTTTCCCAAAGTGGGCGATAACGCCCCCTTGTGGGCGCTGCAGGTCTCAAGTTGCGGGTTATAGTAAAAGTTTCGTTTAGAATTTACCGTTAATATACATATATAGGTCACAATAATTAATTTAATTTGAAGTTATAGTGGTTTTTAAATATGTGAAAATATGGGAGCGTTAAAAAAAATATTTATTCTCAAAGTGGGCAGTAGACAAAATAAGTTTGGGAACCACTGGCTTACTGAGTGCGCGGCGCCGACCTGAGGGGCTAGAGAAAGTGCATTCACTTCGAATGCGATTCAATAACGAATTTTAAAAATGTATGGAACTGACGCGCGACACGTGACTTATCTAAAGTTATAAATTCCATATATTTTTAAAATTCGTTATTGAATCGCTTCGAAGTGCACTTTGTCTAGCCCCGATGACGCCCATAGTGGGGGCACGCGGTGCTTGCAAACTTTGCTCTTTAGCAATTAACGGATTCTGCTTTAGCCGTACAAAATATTATATTATCAGTGTAATAATTGCTTTTAATTTCTTAATTACGATTTAATTTCAATCGATATTTCGAAATAAATTCAAGTAACTGTTGCGTTAAAATTTAGAAATAATTTGGAAAATGTTTTCATAACTTTCATTCGTTCTATTAAATTTTGTAAGTCAATAAACAAAAAAAAAATGATTTTCATAAAATAATCTATACAAAATATTACAAAATGTTAAAACTTAATAGATAAAACCTTTTATGTGACATTGAGTTTTATCTTACGAAAAAAAAAATATTTACAAAACAGCACCCTTGAAATTTTTTTTTGCGTTTTACGAATATTTAACATTTATTTCGTTAAAAACGCAAAAAATGACAAAACGCGTTTTTGATTGCACTTGCGATGAAGATAGAAAATCTATCTTAGAAAAAAAAACAACTATTCTATACATTTGGTCGAAAAATAAAATGTACCGCTTTTACAATGTTTGGAAAAAACTCTTATCTGACCATAGACAAACCGCATTCGTCACAATTGTATAGAAAAATGAATCGATTTTATTTATTGCATTTGAAACGTACCTTAAATATATAATATACATGATATTTACATCGAAATATATATTTTTTTCACTATATAAATCATAAATAGGAATTTTCGCACGAATTTATATCTTTCAAACTTTACGCGAACAGTATCCGAATTCAAATCTATTTATTGTCCTTTTAGTATTGAAATTAGCTGAAAAAAACACGAAATTACGAGTCTTTTCGCATAAGGTGATTGAATTAACAAGCGACGATGCTTAACAAAATTATACACTATTGCTATTGTACATAAGATCCAAAGTCGCACGCCGTAATACCTCAGCTAAACTAACTCTAGCGCAAATCTCTCTTTATTATCAAATATAAGCGAAACTTATCAATATATTTACATTAAAACGTAATTGTCTTGAACTTTTTGGTGTTTTTAGCTTAATATATCGCTATTTGTGAATTGCACTTAGGTATGTTTAAATAATCAAACACCAAACCTACACATTCCTTTTTACCAGACAGTGCTGTTTCATGAAAACATTCTAATCCAGAGTTACAATAAACTCTCACACAATTTTAAAGAATTTTCTCGCATTTCAAAAATACTATAATACATTTTACAACAATCGACAGATATAAAAGATTTCGACGACCATAGACAATTGTTTTTTTTTACGTCACAGACAGAAAAGTGATAAAGGTACAGATAAAGAAAAAATCGATAACCACAGTTAAAAGAAAAGTCATTGGTTTATCGAAATCTTATATCTTTAAAAAATTATTTAAGCCCGAACAGTACATCAGTCGTATTCACAACACTAGCAAGCCGACCTCATAACTAACACCAACACGATCCTCTTCCAAATGTAAAAATATCGAACGCGATACCAAAATTACAGCCATGATATATATTGGTCTTAGTTAATAAATTATGTTTTCACTCAGCTTTATTACGTGAACAATATTTTACAAGTATAAATCCGCTATCAAAGATATTTCCAAAATACATTTTTTACTAGTGAATCCGCCATTTTTAATCTGTCAATGCATTTCGCGCGCAATTTAAACGTTACAGATAACGCGAGAAGCTTTGCCATAATGTTAAATTTGATGTTATTGACCAAGTAAAGTGTATATTTAAAGCTGTTGAAGCCAAGTGAAAACATTGTCAATACAAAAGAAGCGAAATTGTGACGTAATTAAGGTCACGTACACACAACGACTAGTCGAGACGAGGTCAGCTGTGTACTAAAAGCTAGCAACCTCAAATTCAATGCGGCTGTGGCTAACCGTGTCCCGTCATATGCATGGTCTAAGAGTGTACGGTTTGTGGATCACGGCGCGACAGCGGGCGCGGCTCGGCCCAGGCGGGGCGCGGCGTGACCGCCTGGCTGGTGCACCAGACCGGGCGACTCCCCGGGCGCAGCACGCAGCCCTGCGCCAGCGGGCTCTGGGAGGGGGCGCTAGTCTGCGGGACGCGAGGGCGCTGATCGCGGCGGCAAGGGAGACGCGGGAACGCTCCAACTCTCGCTCGTACCCCATCTAACGACAACCGCTAATATTATAAAATCTGTTTTATTAATGATCACACTCAGATTCATATGCACTAAAGCAGTTCCTTAGTGACATAAAAAAAATCTGAGTCCGATAACGTGTACACTGATAAAGCGAGTGCAAGCCTTATAAACGAAATAAAAAAAAGGAAATGAAATTGATTCGTTATACATGTAGTAAAATGATATAATAATATTGATGTAATCGGAATGATTATGAAATAAACGGTGGTATTTAATACAAAATAAAAGCGCAAATGAAGCACTGAGACATGCGCATACTTTGATGACATTTGTAACATACAATGCTATTAGAATTATATTGAACAGGTTAACAGTATCAATAGCAAAATTGTATTGTAATCAAATTGACGGTTGACAATGTTCATAAAAAATAAATTGAACTTAGCTTACGCGTCACATTTGTACTAAAACTACGTGGAAAGTTAAACAATTAAAACACATGACAACGATTACTCACATTGTGTTTTAAATCTGTGTTTTAACATTTTCAGCACATCCACACTATTGATGTTATAGTTACCTAGCATCAATGTCGCTGGCATCAGATAATGTCGACACAACGAGTATCCAGAGTGGGAGTTATGGAGATCACTTTCGTTTTAGTTGAAAAAATAATTCAGATAAATGTTCTCGCTTATTCAACGACAAACACAGCTAATCATTTATGTTTTTAAAGTTTGCAACGGCATAATTTAAAGCACTAATGAACCGTTTGACGTGTACAATAATAAAGGGAAAGGTAAGAGAACTATTATCCCACCCTGGATACGACATCGCATGTTACAAGAGCTGTGAAGACGTACCTAGTATTGCATGTCGTGGACCGCGCCGTGGCCATCGCCGGCACTCACCTGTGCAGCGGCTGCTGTTGCCCGCGGTGGTGCGTGCGGTCGCGGCGCGCTGCAAGATGGTGCCACTTCACGTAGCCGCTCAGCCGGCGCTTCACCAGCCCGGCCAGCGAGTGCAGCCAGCCTGACCACGCCCACAGTTACCGTAACCCCGCCCCCACGCA